TTAGTGCTCCAATAATAGGCGTCAGAGTTGTTCGCATCATCACGAATTCCGCCGCGCAATTTGCCGCGCGCACCCGGAGTCGCACGAATCGCATGTCCCCCCTTCGGTAGGGGGAACGGTACGAACGTGCGTCCGAGGGTGCGCGCGGCAGATTGCGCGGCGAAGTTCGTGACGATCGTAAGAAAGCGACGCCAATTTTCAGGGCACAACTCGAAGTACCCTAAAATACCCTAAAATCGATAGCGATTTCAACGGATTGCTGTTTTTCTATATGAATTGTTTATTAAGTGGGCGGGGTTTAGAGTTGAGGGGCGGAGCTTCTTCTTAACTCCTTCTTCGGTTTTTATTTATCCATCCATCAATTAGAGGGTGACTGCATTCAATTTCAATTTCATTCCAATTCATTTTTCACCGGTAAATTAAACCGCTCTTATTTATGGAATTTTAGGGTAATACCGAATTTGAGGACAGCTAGAGAGACAAGCCTTCCCGATGGCCTACCGCTTGAACGTGGTGGGAGGATATTTTTCAGTCATATGGGAGTTTATCTGGACCAACGTACCGCTTCACGTTTGTAGGTGAGGTAAGGCACATGTGCGAAGAACTCGAGGCATGGCGGCCCCCTTGCTCGAATCCCTCTTCTCCGTCCGCCCCAGGTCGCGGACGGGCATTGAAACCGTTCTCTACTCGTAAAATTACGCACAGCAGGTACATTACAACTAAATTACTGCGTTTTGGAGTAAGGACCAGGACTCGCTTGGGGAAATAACTCGCCACCAAAGGGGAGTCAACCTGTCGCTCGCTCTGCCACACTTCCATCAAATGCCGGTTTGTATGGTGCGAAACCTCTCGCCAAGATTTTTTTCAGCTCAGCGGAATTTGCGTTGTGCCTTCCATCGTTGTTCTTCATGGATATTCATAAATAATAACAATAATTAATAAATATGTATCTACGTATAACTAATAATTTAAAGGCACAGTTCACGATAATTTTTGGTAATCCAGATTATGATGAAAAATGGAATACAAGATGGAAAATAGTGCGATGAAGGCGAAAAAACTGTGTGAATCGGTGTTACTAATGTGAAAAAAGCTTCGAAAAACAGTTGAAAAGGGGGCTGGACGAGAATGAGACTAGAAAAATGAAGAAGAGTGGGGCGTTTGGACGAGCTATACAATGTATGTGTGGGCCCTGGTGCGAATAAGAGAGTACGGTAATCAAAAATTCACCTAACAGCATAAGTAAACAAAAATCCTAGTATCAGCAAAAGTTGCTCACCTTTTTCAGCCTCTAGGAGTAGGAAACTAAATAGGGTATCGCGGCAGCAAAAAAAAATAACAGAGAAAAAAAAGGGAGGAGGAACGTCGCCTCATCACTCGGCGATGAGCTGATTGTGTGTGGGTCCTAAAAGGAATATTTGCGATCTGTATTTTCTCGACAGTCGTCTGACGTGACATCGATCGAAGGGCGGAAAAGCCAATTACGGCAGCAACAGGGCTTCCACTATGCCCTGAACGTCGAGATTATCGGAGCGAGAGGGTCCCCTCTACCACCCATAAGGGCCGCTGAGTATTGATAAGGTAAGAACTCAGTAACCTTTTTTATCATGAACCATGCCTTTAACGACACGTCTGCATGTCAAAACGACCAAGAGTAGGAAGCCTCAGCTCGATCAGAGGACCAGTCTTCTGCGGCGTTAC